CAGTGTCCCCTCCAAGTGGGTTGTGTCTAGGACCCAGACAGCCTCAATTCAGCAGCGTGTGAATTCTGTCCCCTGACGACTGTCCCTGTTGAGAAGTTATTATTCCACTCCTCACATGGTAACCACCATTCTCCACTGCAATCTCTGGTCCTGTACAGGACAGCCAGTATTCAGTGTCGACCGAGTCCAAACCGTGGCCCCTTTCCCAACCCTCCTAAGGAGAGCTTCCGGGAAACAACATCCCCTGGGGTTTGTCTCTCTCGGGGATGCATCACAGGCCAAATCAACCACGCAGTCACTAGTGGGAGGGGACATTGGACTTGTGCGTGCCCATCACCGGGGCCTCTCATGAAATCACGCACCCTGCCTGGCACTGCACCAACCCCGGGCGGCTGCTATTCAGTGTTTTAAGCCCCCTGACGTGCTGACGAGCCTCAGCAGCCCTGGCCTCTAGTGTCCGGGACCACCTAGCAGATAAGAGACCTACTACTAGCTGCAGGCAGGGGGAGCACTCCCTTAGCTCCGGCTGGGAATCTGCGGTTCCAATCCTGCCCCAGCTGAAATTTGGCCAGCCGCGCCCGTCTCCCCGCAGCGCACTGGGACTAGCTCGTGCTGCTTTCAGAGATCAGCCATCCACGAAGCCGTGTGCGTCTGCAGCGGCCGGCGCGCGGCGCCTTCCTGCTGGTTTCCCGGCTCCTGCTCCCTGCCCCCTGGGGGGCGTGCGGCCGCTGCTCATCCCGTTCCGGTCAGCCCGTTGCGGACTCAGCGGCTCGTGACACGTTTCGATGGACCGGCGACCCGGGCGGCGACGGCCTCGTGGTTTGGGGGGCGCCTCGGAGGAACAGCCAGGGCAGGAATCTCCCCCCACCGGGTTCCTCTGCGGGGCAATCGGTTTCGCTTCCCTTTCTGGTGACTGGCAGCTGCTGTAGAGGCCATTTTAATCTCCTCCGTGGCAGGAGGACGGGGAGGGCATTCCCTGAGCCCCCCCAGTGAAGGGTGGAAAGGGGGGAAACAGCCCATTTGGGAAGGAGAGGCGCCTCGGCGGGCTTTCTACTTAGTCATAGGGCAGTGGGAAGCCAAGGCTGCGTCCCAGCACTGGAGGCTGCCAGCAGTTACTCATGAGACGCTCTGACATTTCCTGACAACACGAGGCACAAACCCACCCACCCTCCGGTTCCACGGACCCCTCCCCGCCAATCAATCTTTGGGCCGGAAGGCACCTGCGCGGCAGGGACGGGGGTGGGGGGGGCTGCTGCACGCCAGCTGGGCCCTTCCCCTCCCACAACGCTCCTTGGAACAGCACATGACTCCGAGTCCCCCGCACGCCCACAGTTCCTGGCACGGCGAGGCAGCTCGCCGCTCGGGATCGGGGGCGGTGGGGTGAGCCAGGGGCCAGCTCCGTGCACAGGCCCCCCCACCCCGTTTGGCTCCCAGAATAGTACGCACCCGGCAGGCAGAACTTTCTTATTTTTTTTTCCTTGGAAGGGAGAAGCCAGCGGAAATTTCAGGGAAGCCGCTCACTGAGGAAGGAATTCCCAGTGAGTAAAGCCCAGGAGACCTGGGATCTAGTCCTGGCTCCACCACCAGCGTCCCATCACGCCCCTTCTCCGAGCCTCAGTTTCCCTCTCAGCGCTGCGGGGAGAGGGACGATTCAGGCCCCACGAGGCTCAGATTTCAGGGTGATAAGAGCCGTGCGAAAGTTGCCAAGCCAACCTCTCTCTCGCAGCCTGGCAGATCCCCGCCCTTGCACGGCGTGAAGCAGACGGGAAGCCACAGATTGTAGCGAAAGAGCCACAGACGGCAGTTCATACGGCAGTGAAAGCCCTGCTGATTCAGAAAGAGAGAGACCGGGGCTTCCCCACGTGACCCCACTCGGGCCTGGTGCTCAGCTAAGAGTCCAGCGCTTGCCTTTAGCCCACACGAGGATCAGGGCAGTTTGTAATCACAGACTCACCGGTGACTTGGGGAGAGATCGGTGCTCTCAGCGCCAGACAGCGCACTGGCTGTGGTTTTGAAAACACCCCGGCAAGCCTGCGGAACTCACTGCCACATGATTTCATCACACCTGGCAGCATTTCTAACAAACATCTGACATGACCCTCATTAGATGAATAATGGGAACATCCCCAGCACACGTCAGACCATCTAGATAAGGGCTATGAACTCCCTGGCCAGGGGGGGAGGAAGGAGCAGCCCCAAGGGACAGGCTACTCCATCATTGCACAGGGGCTGGAGAGGAGGGACCAAGGGAGGCAGTGAGCCAGAAGACTGGCACAGTACCAGGGGGAGCTGAAGCCCAGAGTACAGGGTGGAGCTGGGATACCCGAGAGGATATAACAGAAGCCCCCCAAAGATCCTCCTCCCTGAATTTTACAACCCATGTGCATTTTGGTAGGAGCCGTGGCTGCCCACATTCGTGTGGAGAGCGCATGAGAGCAGGGGGCATGGTGTGGCACTGCCAGGGAAGCTGGTCCCCATTTCCCCCCCCCCCGGCCCTGGGAGGATGCCACACCCCCTGTGGCGTGCGTTCCCACCCTCGTGTGGGACAGTTCACGTTGCCAGGCTCCTCCCCCGTCAGCTGTTCCCCTTTGCCACCTTGGGTACGGCAGCTTGACCCGTTAAACTCCCTGGCTAGCGGGATTCCCGTGTGCCAGGAAACGCAGGGTTTCCCTCCCACGCCGCCCGGCCGCCAGGAAAGGACTGCAGCGCCGGAGCCTCTCACTGCCCGCTTCTCTCCTCCGGCTCTCCCAGGCCAGGCCTAGGGTGACCCACGACTTCCCCAGCCCTGCCAGCGTCTTCCCACCCCTGCTAGACCCTGCTCCAGCTGATCTGACCTGGCCTTGGATGGCGACATGACCGAGCATCACCCCCACTTAGCTCCCTCTTTGGCCCCCCGCAACCATCCCATTTGCCTTTCCCCCGGTGCCCTGCCCAGCCGCATTCCCCTCGCTCCGCACCGCTGGTCTCAGAGCCAGTCGCCCAGAGAATTTCAACCTAGCCTCCATCTGCCTCGCTTGACCAGCCCGAAGCTACACCTGGCTCGTGAGGGACAGGAAGGACGGGGCACTGACTTGCCTCACAGGGAGGGCGTGCGAGGCCATATTAAAGACCGGGAGGCAGAGATACCGTAACAGGGCCATGGAAAAGTGCCGTACAGTTCACTGGCCCCGAGCCGTTCCTGCAGGGCGCCTGGCCGGGGGGGGGGGAGGGTACCAGCTTCCCTGG